AGAGAAACAAAAAGCAGGGTTGCCAGGGTTAGCAGTGAGAGCCCCACAGGTTGGGGGGGAAATATAGCTCCCATAGTTGAGCTTTTCCCAGCAATCACATCAGTTTGACCCTAAGAAAGAAAAAATCATTACTACCTCAGAACAAAAGAAATTACAGTAATAAATAAATATTAATGATGAAATAGTATTTTGATTAGGCAAGTAAGGTTTGTGAGCCATTTTAAGGTATACAAATATTTTATTTCTGAAATGAATTATCATTTGATTTTTAAAATTTCCTATTATAGTTTTTCATAACATAAATTCAGAGGACAAGAGAATCTGATATAAGAGAGTAACACACTTGAAAATTAATTTAGGGCATTAGCTTCTAAACTATTTCTAATCTCAGCCATGTTTCTAATTTTTAAAGATAATTTGTAAGGTTTCAAGAATGGTTATAAAATGATCATACTAGAATTTGGTAAGTCTGTGACTTAAAATGTACTTTCTTAGGATTTATAATATCTAAAAAATTATCTCTCTCAAAGCAGCTTTGTTTTTTGAGAATAATTGTAGTCTCAATAAATTGAGTGAAAGTCTGGCACATTAATAGAAAATTTGTTTATTACATTTTATAAAATTTAAGAATTTAAAGTTTTCCCAACAGAGTTATTTGTGAATGTTTTAATATGCAAAGAATATCATCATTTATTGGTCAATGTTGTTCATATTTAGTCCCGTTCCATAAATTTCTCTCAGAGCTGAGAGCTAGGGGCAAAGTTAAGATATCTTTCATTGCATAAACAGAATCACACAGTTCATCATGTTTCCTTCTTTGCTGTGGCTTCTAGGCAAGTTCCAAGGTAAAAATGACATTTAACTATAGTATTTTGTAAAGTATAAATTTTATAATGACATTTAACTGTAGTATTTTTAAAGTATAAATTTTATAATGTGGCTATATATCATATACTACTTAATTATTAGTTTCTATTATATTTAAGTATATGTTTATTATAAAATACTGCATTAAATCCCTTTTAAAAGAAGAAGGCACATAAAGAAATTAAAATCAAATACTCTCAAGAGAAAAATACTATTGAGCTCAAAGACCATGTACATAGGAAGGTATACCATTGATGTTCAGACCATACATACTTTAAATTTGTCCTTTTAGTAACCTTGGAAGAATGGTAGCTGTGTTTAATCACCTCAATAAATATACACACAACAGGTTTATAAATGGAGACTTATGCCTCATGCCCATATTTTCAAATTCATGGAGAGTATGGTAATAGCATTAAAACCTAATTTTAAAAAATCTTCAGAAAAACTCTTTAAGTAGAGGAGACTAAAAATTCCACATTTTAGAATCAGTGATAAATTCAGCCTCTCAATACAAAATCAATATAGTAAAATCAAGATGATTTGTCCACTTACTATGCAAAAATTATTGAATCATAATTAGAATCACGATTTTCAGCTTAAGAAATCAAAGGCATTTAGATACCAATGTTATACAAGAACCCTAGAACAAGTGCTACATTCAATGTACTTTTAGATATGGCTGATAACCTTCTCCAAGAATGCCATATTCAATTTAAGAGATACCAAGGGTCATTTACTACAGCTGTTGGTTACCCTGACTTCTTGATCTTTCTGTACTACAACAGGTCACATAGCCATCCTAGAAGTGACATCACTTCTGGGGCGGATCACAAAGGTTCTATGTAACAGTCATACAGTATTCATACATACCACTCACATGGGTAACAGACATAAAAGAGTAAGCAATCTCTAAATGGTTCAGGATCTGAAAAAGACAACTAAGGGATCAAGGAACCTACGTTGTATTTTTCTTCAAATTCAACAAGATAAAATGTAGACATTCTATCATTATAGCACAGCACAAAGGCAAAACAAGAATTACATATAGAATTGACACGTCAAAAGAAGCTGATATTTACAAATTTTCTTCATATTAAAACTGTGATAAAATCAATCAAATCATCTTCCAAAATAATTTCAATAAGAGGGTCCTAGTAAATGAGAAATATTTAACAATGAGGTTTAACTTTTTATGTCTTCATTTCTATTGATCTGGTGTATTTTCTTAAATAATCATGAACATCTATATGAGGGTAATAACATTTAATGAACATTTTAGCAAATGGGATTATTATGACACAATATATCCTACCATTGAAAATCAAAGTAGTGTGACGAAAATATAATATACAGGATAATCAGTTAACTATACCAAATGAAATGAGAAAAATGTTTAACCGTCCTGAGATGCATTACTATATCTTATCATTATTCTATAAAATAGCAATTATTAGAATAAATAACCTAATAATTGTAAAACATATTCACCAAAAGGGAATTCCCAGTTGGTTTGATTTACCTTAATGCAGGTTAATATATAATAATGACTTTCATATTGGCATATAATTATATCACATATTTGGAAGAAGCCAAAAATAAATTTTTAGGGTATCACCCTTACTTAAGAATCTGATGGAGGAGAAGCTGCAAACAAAGCCATAGTATGCAAATAGATGTTGTACTGGTCCTCTTGTGGTTAAGTATTTCAAATAACCCTTTTTACAAAATGGCCTCCATTACTAAACTGGAACAGTCAAACATTAACTGAAAATCAAATCTCTCTGGAACTAAAATAAAAAAAATCATGCAATCTAATATTTATGTTGTGTGCTTTATTCTGCATAAAATAACACAGTGAATTTAAAAATATCTTCTGTTTTTTTTTTAAAAAAAATCCATTTTGGGGTTTTTTGTTTGTTTGTTTTGTTTTGTATTTTTTGCAATCTGTGAATGGAATTAGATTTCTAAATTACACAATAAACTATTTAGACCACAATAATGAAGAGCTATAGTTTGAAAATTCAGGGCTTACCTGAAAAAAACTCTGAATTAATGACCTCAATGAATAACGAAAGATATACAGAAATTATTAGCATTTTGGTGTGCATGCTAAAATTTATAAAATATAACATTGATGAAAGTTATAAAAACTATTTTCTAAAAACAACTAAGTACAAAACACACAAAATTATTTTCATTTTGGCCAAGAATGCATTTAGCCTAAGTTTCCATTGCTTACTGGAATTCCCATGACAGCAATTCTAATTAGTAAAACGATCCAAGAAAGACACAAAATACGAGAAACATTCTAAACTACAACATTTGAAGAGGTCATATAGCCCTCATACTTAATATTTCTGTGTGAAGAAATTCAATTAATAACCAAATTATACAATCCCTGTGGCTTAATTATACATAGTAATTCTAAAATTTCCCTTTTGTTATGATTGGATGAACCGCGCCCTACATGGCAGATCCGGCATATACAAAATCACAAAGATTTCCTCTAAATTCGGCCTCCACTTGTGTCGGCTTTCCACCAAGCACCAAAATGGTAGGAAGTTATGTAAATTAATGTATTTTATTGTATCCATTATTTGATTTTAGTATGCAAACAGATCCTTTACTGATTCAGACCCCATATTCCTTCGTTATAATGGCAAGACAATGGTAGGGTTTAACATCATGTCTGAAGGAGAATACAAGTTTGAAAATATTCTAAATAAATTGTATGGCTGAAAATCAAAAGTCCAGCATATATTTTTTAAAAGGCTCTAATGAGGTTGATGGCAAAAGTATAATGTGTGTTGATTTAATAGGAACCATATGACTATCCTAGTACCATAGCTACTACAATGACTACCTTTAGATTAGCATGCCACCATAAAACAAACTAAAAATAATTTTTCTACAAATGTATATTATCAGCCAAAAACCTGTGCTGAGCATATTTATATTGCACCAGTTATTCTCTGAAAGTAAAAGACAACCCAAGGTCAAATGAAAAATAACCAATAACTCCCATTCTTTGCCTTACTGCCTCCCGCTCTCCACTCAAAAAATTAGCATCTTATTTAATTAGCAGTATTTTTATGCTTAGATAATTACAGAATTGTTAAAACATATACCATAACAGAAGAGTTATTTTTTTGTTTGAAAATTATATTATTTTGGGAGGAAGGACAAATAGGGGGAAAAGCTTATCTGTGGTGTGGTTAGTATGATTAGATTTCAATGGGAAAAGAGGTATTTAGACCTAGTATATGATATGGTCTTATTAGAAAAGAAAATTATCTTTTTATTGTTGTCAATTGCTCTTGAATTTTCCTTTAATAAAATTTCACAGCAATCTCCTCAAGAGGATACATTAAAGGCCCTTGATTATATATACCCTAAAGAATGTATTGTACCACAAAGATACATACCCAATAAGATTTTTTTTCATCTGAAATTTATAAAGATAATTTTCCATGCTGACAGTGCACATTTCATCCATAAGTTTGAAGAGTCAAATGCTACCACAGCTGGGGGTTATTCTGCCAAATGGCTTCCAACAGGGACTACAGAGATGGAGGCTAGAAGGCATGTGTATGTGCATGCAGGAAAAAGCAACAGACCTGATGGGAAATAGCCCTTCTCTGGAGTCATTTTATCAATTACCATCTGAGTGATCTAATCAAATAGGCTCATGAAAAAAAAAAAAAGCAATACTAGGGAGGAAAAGCAAATATGAAAACAGCTGCTTTGATTACCTACAGAGATTAAAACAAAAAGCAAGGAGTGAGGCTGATATATTTCTTAGGGATTTTCTAAGGCTAAGGGGAGGGGTAAGGGGTAGATACCTTTAAAAAAACCCATCATGAAAGGAGCTGAGACAAGATTATAAGAAAGGGGCCAAGTTATAGCGCGCCATGGGATTTTTAATCTGGCTACCTGTGGTTTCTGTAGTCAAAGCCTTATTCATCCCCCAAACGGGGAGGTGGGGAAGAGAAAACAAAAAAAAAATCACATTTATATGTCAGTTTTGCAAATGATCAAACAGCGTGCATCAACAAGAATAAGAAGAAAACATTAAACGCTGATGACTTTTTAAAAAGATACCCGTTTTATCAAATATTATTGGTAATTACCTGCGCATCTCGTTTCTTGAACTCTTGAATTTGATTTTCGTGCTCCATGTTGGCAGCGCGAAGCTGTTTCTCCAGGTTTTCAATTTCCCGTTCATGGTCTCGGACTAGGCTACCCTTCTCCGCGTTATGCTGCTGTAATAGGTGCGTCTTCTCCTGTTCATGCTCCAGCTTCAGCTCTACTATCTGATTGGACAATGAGGAGGACAGTTCATCAACAGAACATCCTTGTCGTCATGACAACTCATGGACAGCTTAATTTTTCTCGAATTTGTCCAAGTTGAAAATTTTATTTTTGCGTCATTATTACCTCACCCTTGAAATACCCTCATTTGGTGTGTGTGTGGGGGGGATTTTATCCAAACCTCCTAATATTCAAGACTATTGGGCATATTCAAGAAATCCTTTTGCAATCTGTTGACATGAATATCTGAACATTGAAAAAAAATTATGTCGAAAGCTAGGTATTTCCTCCCCAAGATTCCAGTATTACTGATCAGCAATGGTTGTAAATGGTTAATAGTCAGTACGCTTTGCTTTTTGCTTAAATACACAGATGTAAAAAGCAGCAATTAAATCGATCAGTTTTCTTTATGATTTTCAAATAAAAGATCTGAGCTAAATACGCATCTGGATTATTGTATATACAGTTGTCTTTTTAAAAATAAAATGATAAATTTCGAAGCTCTATTATCTCGTTGTCAGCCACGGTATAGCACTATAAACACACGTTATGTCTTCCAGAAGAGCACCTGCTGTGCTGCAAGCTTGCCCCATGATTTCATAAAAAGCATTCTATTCTCAAGATCCTTTCCCAGTCCACTCCACACTGGAGACTGTGACCTTGGCCAGTCTTAGCCTCTCCCTGCTAGACTGAATGGCAGCCCGAGACCAAGGGCCTGGTTGCCGCAGCTTTGATATTAATCCTCCCAGACTGTGCACAATGGCACCCTACCTGGCCTGCAAACTATAGCCAGCCAGGCTGTCTTTGAAGCAGGTGATGAATAGGGGACTGCAGGAAGCCAGCTTCCCCAGTGAACTCCAGGCCACACAGCTGCTAAGAACAGTCACTTGGATTTTTCTTCAGTTTTGGTGGATTTCAGGGGGAAAAACTGCTGTTATCTAGAATATGTTGTGTTATTTTCGGCGTGAGAATCCATCTTCAAAAAAGCTAACAGTAGGAGCCTGCTCCAAATCGATCTTGTTTCCTGCAATGAATCACCAGACTACCTTATCTTAAAGCTATAGCATTCATTTCTCCAGGCATGCACACTGCACTAAATATCAGAAGTTATTTTCTTTTGAAATTTGAAATTCTCATCTCCTAATTGCAAATTAAGAATCAAAACACAAATTAAATGTGCTTTAAAACAGGTTTCTAAATGTTTTATTATTGTGACTTAGAGAGTTGGAAAATTAACAATAGATTTCTAACCATTCATAATTGAATTAAACTATTTAGAAGAAAGAATGCTAACTCTTGAACATGTACACTTATCAGAACAAAATAATGTACAAATAATATGGGAAAAAAGTATTTTTAATCTGAGACCAAAGGTGTTTTATAGTGAATTTGTTTAAAATTCAGGTTTTCCTCCCATATTACTCTGTTGGCAACATAAGAAAAATATTGTATAAAAAATGTTCTACTAGCATATACTATGCCAAGTAGTACAGTTATCTTTGATTATTTACAATACATGTGTATGATTTATTCTTTGAGTCATACAACTAATATTAACTATAACAATAATCCCAACAGAAGACAAATTAAAATGGTATTGTTATTATAGCACTTTTTCAGGCAGCCGAGGCTATAAATTATTGAGTTGAAGAATTTTTAGTTCTTGGACACATATTTCCACTCAGTGTTATACTATCAAGTGTCATTATAATAAAATCACAAACTTTAGTCAAAATCACTTGCATATGTAACACTGAAAGAAAGTAGGAGGGGGAAGTTATACTGAAATCTTCAGAAGTCTCAAAAAATGGGAGAATGACTATGACTTAAAATTGAAAAAAGCAAAATATTTTACAAGTATCCAAATGACCTATAATTAGAGCCAAAAAATTGCAGAATCCCCCAAAGACACATGATCAGAACTAGATGTATAATCATTATAATGATGCTGTATCATTTTTGGATCTAGTAATAATATACTTTCACAGTACCATTCTAATTTGAGTAACCTGATTGTTCTTATAGATTGACCAATGATCTGCCCATGTTCAAACATGTTTATTCATTTTATTTAAAAAAACTAGAAAAAAATGAAATCGTTATAACAAAATTTCAACTCTAACGATAAATGTTCCTAAGTTATTACTGGTTTGTTACTTTGCCAGGGCCTGTTGCCCAGTGATTCTTCTTAATGAATAAATCTCAAGGTTGTTGAGCCTTTTAAGTGAAATAGTTGAGGTTTATCTGCTTAGTCCAACACTGCTTAGCTAACTCCTAGATCTTATGAGCCCTTTCTGGTCTCAGCCTAGGTTTCCTAGTTGTCATCTTCTCTTAGAGGTGTGTTTTCTAGATAAATGGTAGGGTCAAGGGAAACTCCCTAATATTCTGGGGCTATATTGATGATGGTATTCATAACCACTAAGACAATTACTGAAGTGGATCTGTGCTAAATCTAAGTTTTACTGGTCCCTGTCCTCTTCCAAGAGTAAGCAAATGTTAGAAGAGTCCTTCAGACCTTCCAGCTTGGTCCCTTACTTGAAGGTACATCTTGGAAGTAAAAAGAAGTAGTGTATCTTCTTTACCTTGAACTACTACATACTTTGGGTGAACCAAGAGTAACGTCTAATAGAATGAATGGCAACTCTAATACATTCTGAATCTGAAACTCAAGAGTGAAGGTTTGAAGTTCTGAGTCCTTGAGAGCACAGTCTTCCACCACATACTAGAATCATTTTACAGCTGTTGATGTTCTCATTCCAACAGATGTTTCATGTAAGTGCCCAAGAACAGGACCACATTCCAGGTGCTCAGGAAGACAAAGATGCAGCTAAGAGATTACCAAGTCTCTGGGAGTCTTGGAATCTACATTTTAAGACCTGCTAACAGTTTTATAGTGAACATAGTGCCAGCAAATATGGCTAGAATATTTTTAAATAATTTCTTGACCATAAATTTCAATTCAAAATGTGATAGATAAGGAAATAAAAGGAAGATTCTTACATCACTTGGTAAGACAACTTATTTGTCTTTTTATCCCCATGCCCCAGAAATAGAACTGATGACTTGAGATAATTCTGAGAAATATTTTTGGATACCCCGATTTTAGACAGAAATGGACTGAAGATGGAACACTCACATTTCCTTCTTCTGCCTAGATGGGGGATAAGAAGGGGAACTGTACAGAGTGAAAATGGCTATAGGCCAGAGATGAATAAAACTGAGAAAGAAAAAAACTGGAGCTGATTCTGACAAAACACAGGCTTTAGAGTTCCCATCAGAAACGAGAGACCACCCTCTAACAAGCACAGCGAACTCTGGAACAGAGCATTGGTAAATTGTTAAAAGACAGAGGATATGTCAGTTTCTCTAACAAAGGTCGCTTAGAACTTTCATTAATATATCAAATAAGCTCTGACTCTCCATCCCTATCTGAGTCTCAAACTACAGAAAAGTAAAAGCCACAAAATATTTATGTTCTCACACTAAAACTCAGAGAAAGACAACCAGGCTGAAAATAAAGGCAGAAAATCGGTCAAAGAGAATTCATGCATATTATACTAGAATTTAGAAAAAGCTTATAGGTTTCGACAAAGCTTGCCCACTTCATGCCCCAGTAAGATGAGGGGAAAACATGTTTGGACACCTATAAAAACACTACATTGTGTGTGTGCGTGGGGGGTGGTGAGGTGGGGGGTGGACTTAGTAAGAAAGAGGAAAAAAAGAAAGGATGAAGAAACCAAGGAAGGCCCATCACTCTGGAGGGAGAAAAAAAGTACACCTTTAAAACCAGAGCCAGTTATAGGAGAGCTCGATGAAACGTGAATGTAATGAAAAGAACTCAAAGAAAGCAAAACAACAGAATTAGCTAAGGATCGAAATAACTCGGTCACAAAATTAATTCTAAATTAAAATAATAATGAGTTAAAAATAATGGCTAAAGGGCTGGGCTGCTGCTCAGTGGTAGTGAGCTTGCCTCACAGGTGTGAGGCACTGGGTTCAATCCGAAGCACCACATAAAAATAAATACACAAAAAGATATTGTGTCCATTTACAACTAAAAAGAATTAAATAAAATAATGGCTAAAGACTGAACCACTGACATAGACAAAAGGCCTGAGAAAATCATAATAAAGGCCCAGGAAAGAAACAAAGAGAAGAAAGAAAGAATGAAAATCTGCATGCACACAAATGTGCTATCAGGAAACTTTCACAAAATGAATGAAGAACAGAATGTGTGTATCAAAAAGTCACACTATATACCAAGAGAAATTAATTATGATTCAGGAAAATAATGGCTCAAGAAGATTATAACTAAGTTCAAACATGGAAAAACTCAAAAAACCCAAGACACTCTTGAAAAAAGTAATAATTGAGGATAAGATTCATTTAAACAAGAGATGACTAGAAAAGTGGAGCTGAGAATAATGCGTAGCACCAAAAGACAATGGGACAATATGTACAAAGCTTCAGGGAAACAAAGGATAAACAAGGAAGTTTATGCCCAGTCAAGTTATCCTTTACAGCTAAAAGAACACAAATGATTCTCCAGCAAGAAAAAATGCAATGAATACAACTATAAGCTCTTCTCAAAAAAGTCACTCAATGATGAAATCTCAGTAGTCAGTAGATAGGTCCAAATAAAGAACTTGGATATGAGTTGTGCCAAACGTCCTGGTGGTGAGCACATGGCAGATTTAAAAAAAAAAAAAAACTATGTCTATAGAACTGTGACAACTATAGAACAGAATACAAAGGGCACATACTTCAACAATGTACAAATAATACCATAATTTACAAAACAGAATGGTAGGGACAGGTAGGAACTGTATGCAAGTTAATTTTAGTTTTTAGTGTAGGGGGTAAATAATGCCTTCAAAATTAAACCATAACATTTATTCAATATACTTTTAATAAATACTTCCTAACAGTCTAAGGAATCATTTCTTAAAAAAAGAAATATTTTTCTGAACCTCTTTCAGTTTCTCTTGTTTCTTCAACTAAT